CATTGGAAGCATAACTGCGGTTTATTTACAAGAATATTGCAGGGGCTACAGTAGCTCGGTGGTCGGTGCAGGTTCGAGCCTAGGTTGCATCAGTTTGTGCATTTGTTGTCAAACAGTTGCCAAATGTTTAATGTGTGTTTGCTTGTTGCGGTGACCCTTCACAAGAGAGCAGCTGAAAGAAAGAAAACCAATTATGAGAAAATCTCACAATTAAATGAATCCTCTCTGTCTCTGCAATAAGACATGGTGTTTATGCTGACAGATTATAATCATGTATGTTTTCTGCAGACTTTCATCATCAACACCTTGCTTGAGAAAGTGCCTGAGTTTATGCTTGAAAGGTCAGTATATTTTATATATAAATATATATTTTTTATTCTTATTTTCTCTTATCATTAATCTGCTTTGCATCTCATAGCACCGCTGATGGAGGACTCAGTATTCCACGTATGATTATTAATCAGCTCAAATGGYTAGACAGAGTGGTGGACACCAAGGTAATGTTTAGGTTATGATATTTTATTTGTCACACTCCTTAAGGTTATTTAMGGTTTTTGCAGATTTGATCTGCAGTCTTGTTTTATATATGTTTGTGTGTTTCTGCCTCCTCTTGCAGGAACTGTCAGAGAAGCTGATGGAGCTAGTCTCAGTAGCACCAGTCGAGGTGCAGCGTGACATCATTACCAGTTTACCGGAGATACTGGAAGACTCCCAGCACAATGATATCGCCCGACAGCTCAAGTATATACAATAAGACCTCCATTATTCTGTAATTACTGCCATCAGTCYRTGGGTTTCACGTTTTTCTCGCTTCCCTTTGTAGTTCGTTGCTCCAKGAGAACACCCAGCTGACAGTTCCTATCCTGGATGCCCTCTCTAGTCTTAACCTAACTTTGTCTTTGCTGTCAGAGGTGCCGTTTTATTCTATGAATTCACAAACACGTATATGAAAACACACGCAGGTCACTGTGCTGTGAGCAACTCGCTTGCTGTTTCAGGTCCGAGAAGCTGTCATGGCCACGCTCGCTGCCGTGCAACTAGAAGACCTTCCTGTGGTGGTCAAGTTCATCCTGCACTCTGTTTCTGCCTCTGATGCTTCTGARGTTCGATTTCTTCACACTTTACTTCTTTTTAAAGAGCAGACTATATATACATGGTAGCACTTCCTTTTTTAAAATTTATTTATTTTTTAATTTACTTTGGCACATGTTTGTCTGTGTGCAGGTGGTGTGTAGTCTCCGTAGAAAGCTAGAACTGGAGCAGTGTGTTCTTCCTCCTGTGCTACAGGCCTCTCAGAGTCGCATGAAGAGCAAAGGAGCAGCAACGTAAGAAACAGCTGCCTCCAGCTGTTTAAATATTTGTTTGGAGAAGGTCAGAAAGTTGCTGAGAAAATATAAAAAAATTTTTTTCTCTAAACAGATGTGCTTCCACGCCAGCAGCTGGAAGCAGTCAGGACAGCGTTGCATTGATACTCGACTGCATAAAGTCAGCGGTGCGCTTCCAGAAAACCATTTCTGAGGCTTGGCTTAAGGTTTGTTCTTAATGTGTTTATATCAAATAATTTATTAAATAAATTGAAAAGCAAGCAAAAATGATCTAAATGCCTTGAAGTTTTGACAAACAGTTTAAAATGTGCTTTTATAACCCACTAAGACAAAAAAAACATAACAGAAGAGAATCAGCAATACAAGTAAATTCTATCAAGGTATCTTGAAGTTTTGCCTCAAATAAAAAAAAATAAAATTTTTGAATTAAATGCATGGCAATGCAAATAATCTTAACAATTTGATGCTAGGTTTTTTTCAGATTTTCTCAAGAATCTTTGGAAAATTTTATCATTGTTGAATAAAAAATAACAAAGCAATTTGCTTTTTTATTTCTGTCTCCCTCTAGTTTTACCAAGTGTTACTTTTTTTTTAATGTGTTGCTGGTGTTAATTGAAAAAAATGTATGTATTTAAAAAACATTTTATTTATTGCCTTTAAAAAAATCTTTAAGATTTGCAGATTATTGTTATTTTTCACTTGTGCATTCTGATGAAAAGCAGGATTTTGTTTTTGTTTTCAGTGTGGTTGATCTATTTCATTTATTTATTAATTACTTCTCAGGCAATAGAATCTGTGGATGAAATAGAGGAACATAAGGTGAGTTTGCAGAAAGTTTCCTGACATTTTTGGCTCCATTTTGTTTTTGGAGATTTTGAATAATGTATGAAATGACTTAGTTTTGYAATGTTGAAATGGAAAATTACAAATGTAACTGATTATAAGTTGTTTGACTGCAGTGACCCTGAGCAGACTGTTAGAGCCAGAATGTCTACCATTGTTATTTAAACCTGTTTATCTATAAAGTTAGTGTCTGCCTGTTGTTAGTTTAATCTTGATCTGCTGCAGAGAGAACTTAAAAAAATATAAGAATTAGGCTACTACCCCTCAGGGTAAGAGGTTCAGACAGTTCAAACATTTTTATTTTAATGACTTCAAAATAAAATTCTCATTATGAAGTAAAAATAAAAAATAAACCTGTTTAAATAGGTATAAATAGCATTTTCCATAATACGAACACACCTGAAGTTTTAAAAGTTTTTTCATGCAAATAAACCTCTCCGTTTCAGGTTCTAGATCTGCTGGTTCTGTTTATCCTCCACTCCACCAACGCCAACCAGAGCCGACGGGGGGCAGAGAGAGTCCTGAAGCTCAAAGTGAGGACTGGACTCCTGCAGGAGGCTCTGCTGCAGAAAGCCTTCAGGGACTACTCTCAGGTGACTGTAAATATACAGTACGAGCGTCAGCAGAGCCGCTTGAACGCATTGAGCTGTTATTCCACTCACGTGTTGTATATTCTGTTACGCTGCAGGTGATGCGAGGCTACTTCCGTTCCATTCTGGCACTTGCTCAGAGTTTGCTGCGCTCTCCGGATCCCTGCGTGGTGCCTTTTGGTGGGCACATGTACCGACACGCGTTCTCCGTGTTTGACTCCTACTGCCAACAGGTGTGAATATTTATGTACATCAGTGTAAGCCTCAGTTTAAAAGCTCAGTCATTTCAAACTTGGCTGTGTTTCGTAGGAGGTTGTGGGGTCTCTGGTGACCCACGTGTGCAGTGGTGTGGGTGGGGAGGTGGATATGGCTCTGGATCTACTCTGCTCTCTGGTTGTGGAGAAACCCTCAGAAATGGCTCTATATGCTGTTTTTGTTAAGGTAACAAGCCTGATTTCACATTAAATGTAGCTGCTTGTGTGTGTTTTGGTTCAGTTTTCTAACCGGTCTGAACGGTTCTTTTAGGGGATCTTGGACTACATGGACAACCTCACACCCCAGCAGATTCGAAAACTCTTCCAGCTTCTGAGCAAACTGGCATTTGGGCAGCAGCAACAAGGGTCTCACATCCAGGTTCAGAGATGCTTAAATAAGTTGTAAAACAGTCGTCTGCGTCTTTTAGTTTTGTTTATTTTTGTCTGTCTCCCTGCAGGACGACATGCACATAGTGATCCGCAAGCAGCTGTCCAGCACTGTGCCCAAATACAAGCGGATAGGCATCATCGGTGCCGTGATGATTGTAGGCAGTATGGGAGCTTTAAGGTAACACATATTTTTTTTAGATTTGGACATAGAATATTTATTATTTTGGCTCATTTCATCTTCTCTACACTTCCATCCCAGGCCTAAAGGGAAGGACTCACAGAGTGGCTCCTTGTCTCACGACACTCTGAGACAGGTATTTATCAGACATTCCAATAATAAAATAATCTCTTAATATTGTTTTTGATGAGATTTGCCTGCTTAGATATATATATATATATTTTTTTTCAGTATTACTTTTCTACAGCTGCAATCCTTTGATACACACAGAGAGTTGACGATGTTTGATGCTGCTGCACATTTTTGCCTGTTTGCAGGTCACAGCTCTTTTGGAGCTGGTGAAGTCGAGCAGTGAAAGCTCCCCCGAGGCGGCAGCTCTGTACTACGACGAACTGGCCAACCTAATGTGGAGCTCTACACTGGACCCACAGGTGCAGGTGAGTCTTAGCAGCTTCACACCCTAAACAGCTCTCATTTACAGTCTTTGGCAAAGTGAAAGGATCCGATGACTAAGCACTTGTTGTCTTCCAGGAAATGATTGGGATGAGTGTTCTGGATGACTTCCAAGATGACTTTGTGGTGGACCTGGGGCCAGATATAACCGGGTTGGTGCTCAGAAAAACTAGTGGGTCAGAAGTGGCCTTTTCAGTTTGTAAATCAGAAACTATTCATTCATACTGTATAGGTAGAATGGGCAGCTTTGTTCCAATTAGTCTGATGGAAATTATTTAAAACAGAACTGCAGAAGTTTGTAAAGATGCACATACAGTATTTTCTCAATGTAAATCTCTGGCCTTGAGAATATTAGGTTGTTGAAGCTTTTACAACATAGATTAAAACACATTTACCGGTATGTGTTTGTTTAATTTTTTTGTGTGTGTGGGTGGGTGGTAATGCACCTAATAGAATAACTTTTGAATAATATTCCCTTTTCACTTGTATTCTGTTTTTTATCATTTTTCTGTTTTAATGATTTTATATTATTAGATATTTATGTCTTTGTTTTAACTGTTTTAAGGTTTTGTACAGTACTTTTTCCATCATAAGTTGTTTTTAAGTGTGCTCTACAAATTAAAAGGGATTTGAATTGGTTTGTATTTTTCTAAGATCCACAGCAAAAAGTTGTTCAAATTGTTTGCAAAATTCTTTCTGATTGAGCTGAGTCGGATGAGTCTCATCTAAATAAGAAGTTTTTAGTCCAGGTAAATAAAGCACGTAATTCCTCCTCTCTGTTTCAGTTCCTTTCCTTTTCCAGCCCATGTGATGTACAACCTGGATGAGGAGGAGAGTCAGGGGTCTATCGCCATCAACCTGCTGCCTCTGTTGGCCAAAGAGACCCAAAACAAAGTAGAGCAGCAAACTCTAAGCAAGAAACCACAGAAGTCAGTCACACAACTTTCAGACACTTTTCTTTGTACTCAATGACAGATATGAATGTTTAAATGTTTTGTATTTTTTTTCTTTTTACAGGCACGTGTCCTCTCTGTGTTTAGCTCCATTTTTCCGCCTCTTGAGGCTTTGTGAGGAGAAGCGGCACAATGGAGACCTTGAAGAAATTGATGCTCTTTTAGGTGACGTATAGGAGGAGAAAAATCCACAATCATGTCCTATATATGTCTTGTGTGGCCTGTAGATAAATGTATGCTTGTGTTTTGGGTTTTCACAGGATGCCCACTGATCCTGACAAACATGGAGGTTGTGGAGAAAGTGGAGAGCCTCTCGAAGGCTGAGAGGGAGTTCCTTTGTTCTCTRCTCTTTCACACCATCAACTGGTTCAGAGAGGTAACTACACATTGATGGAATCAGTTCAGGAAAGAAATACGCATTTAAATTTGTGTCTCTTCTCACAGGTTGTAAATGCCTTCTGCAGGCAAAAAGAAACGGAGATGAAGATGAAAGTGATGACTCGCCTGCAGAACATCACTTACCTGCAAACGATGTTGGAGAGGACTCTCGCAGGTGTGTTTTTGCTCTAGTTTCCATCTCAAACTTCATTTTTTTCCCCACCAAATTGATTTTCTACATTTAGGAACTCCTGGTTACATCCCACCTATTTCCAACTTTGATGGAGAGAGCACAGATGGGATCGCACTAAGTTTTACCGTCCCTGCTAATAAAGCCAAGAAAGGTAACTTCTAATATTTGTTGCTTTACTTTATGTGGTTTGTTTTTGTTCTTTAGTTCAGCTCGTATGTGTTGTTCAGATGGTGCAGGAAAGAAGAGGAAAGCTCCTGGGAAGAATTCCGTAGAAGGATGTTCCCTGTCTGAGGAGGCGACTGAAGCAGATGAAACTCAGCAGGTATATTATTTATTCTCACACGGTTCTGTTCAAATCATTTAAATAATAAGGTAAACTAAAAATCTTCTACAGGAGCAGCCAGAAAAGGAGAAGGAAAAAGAGGTCCGCCCCGGCGTCAGTTTGACCGCCTACAGACCGTTTTTCAGAGAGCTGGACTTGGAGGTGCTCGGCGTGCTGGAGTGTGGTCTGCTGTCGCGCTCGCTGCTGGACTCGGAGCAGCACACCAAGGTGGAACTGGAACTCGGTGATTTCCGATTAATTTTACCGTAACGCGTTCCTCGTACACATTAGTTTAATGTTTGAATGTTTAAGGTGCGAGAGGATGTGCTGCTGGGTCCCGGTGAGCTCGTCTTCCTGCTGGAGGACATGCTTCACAAACTGGAGTTCAGTCTTACAGCTGCCCCTGCCAGGAGAGCCCCTTTCCTCAAGGTACGGGAAACAAAAGCAAATATACTGTAAACACTAAATAATACAAATAAGAGGTATTTTTAAATTTGCAAGTTTTTTTAAAGAAAGAATTTGATTGCACCTAAATAAACTGTTCAATTAAAGCTGATAAAACTAATGCATTTATATCAGGCTGGTTGAGTTCACCTGCTAATAAGGCTCTAATATGTAACCAAACTATAAATGTTTCTGCTTCAGGCCAGGGCTGATAAAAGCATAGGTTTTTCCCACCTCCAGCAGAGGAGCTCCAAAGACGTCACCTCCTACTGTGTCCAGCTGTTGCCCACTCTCTGCACACACCTGGAGAACTGCCACAATCATTTCCAGGTACAAGGTTGCTGAATTAGAACAAAAGGGTTGTCATTATTTTAATGCCTGTAACCGTTTCATCACCAGGGTTCGCGCTGGGTCTTAAAAAGTCTAAAATTTGAAAATCAAAATTTTAGGCCTACAAAAGTCTTAAAAACGCCCAGATTTTCGTCCAAGGTCTTAAATTTAATTTTGTCATGTTTTAAATTTTTTTTTTACTTTCGATCATACCCGAGAAGCGTTGGCTGCAGCATTGGCTGCATAGAGTAAAGTGCTGTAATCAGAGGTTGACGCGATCTGTCTTCATGAAGTGCTAAGTTTGTTACCGGTCTTTGTGCACATTAAACTACAAGTCTTGTGATAACTGCAGGCAAAATATGGCACAGTTTACTTCCATGTTTTCGACCTCTTTTCCGCTACAACCTCCCGCATACGGTGGCGTAATCACCTGCCCAAAAAAACCAAAGAAGTTCAGTCATGTCCACTGCTTGTTGTTTAAACATGAGAAAGTGTGTTTAGACTTGGCTTGTTATCAGTGATTTTTGCACTCTGTTGGAAGTGATCCACAGCAGTCGATATGAAGGTCTCATATATATGACTGTTTCATTAAATTAATTTTGTGTTGTTGTATTAAAAATAAATACTCTTTAATAACTAAATTGATAGCAATAAAGGTTTTTATGTTTAAATTTCTGGGACCATTTGAATGTTTTTATTAATGCGTCATTTTGGTCTTAAATTTCATTCCGGATTGTCTTAAAAAATCTTTAAAAGGTCTTAAATTTAACTTACTGAAACCTGCATGAACCCTGAGGTACACATGTATATCACAGACGCTGCTGTCTGAGAACAACGGAGTTGTGGATGGGCCGGCTACAGACGTTCAGGAGCATCAGTTAATGTCTTCTGGTTACCAGCTGCTCCTGCAGGTCCTGAACACGACGTTTAGCTGGTGAGTGAAGTGGACCTGTGTGCTGTTAAAAGGAGAGAGTTTGAGTCTGTAGAAAAATCAGCCTGACGCTTGGTTGCATCTGTTTGTGTGCATCTGTAAGGTCTGGATTCAGTCAGCCGGGACACAGGAACTTATTAAAGAAGGCTTTGGGAGTTTTGGCTGGACGCCTTAAAGAAGGAGGTTCTGAGCTGACCTTGGAGCAGCTTGTGAAGTGAGTGATCATTTTCAGCTATTTATAAATGGTTCATCTTATGTGACTCAGAATGCTACAAATTAAAAGAATGAATATCATATAAAACACATTTTTAAATAGATCCACAGGAAATAAATTTATAAAACACATGCAACTTATTGAAATCAAAGAATAAAGAAACAAGAACAAGTTGAATGAACCTTTTGGATTCTCAGTTTAATTTAAGGTTCTCTGCTTTATTCCTGCCTCTGTGTGTTGACAAAAGTTGTTTTCATCTGTTTCCTCAGACACAGTTTTAAATACCTGCTGAACTTCCGCAGCACGATGCCAAACCTCAGCACAGCCCTGTCTCTCTCCCAGCTTCTGTCCACGGTGTCAGAGAAAGGAGGGAATCCAGCCGCCTACAGAGAGCAGACCGGTCAGACTGCTAACCTTAATCCAATCCTCTGATCAAAWATCCAGTAGAGTACGGTGATAATCAGGTGAATTTTCCTCTTCAGCTTCCCTCGCTCGTCATTTTCTAAACCAAGTCTGGGTGACGGCAAGCGGCGAGAAGGAGAAGGGGAACAAGTTCAACGAGGCTCTTCACGCTCTCCTCGGGTTGGTTCTTATGTCAGAAATAATGCTTAGTAGGCAAACAATGATTTACTTTACATAGAAATCCATTTTTGTCTTTTTATTTTATGTTTTCCTTTCTATCCAGGCTTTCCAAGATTATTTATGGTTTTACTGTTAAATCAATAAGTAAATGATCATTTGTTTAGCAGTTTAAACAAACTCTGAACACAATGACTTCAACAAAAGATGAAAAAATATGAACAGTTTTTGTATCTCATTACTTAACCAAACACCCAAATAAATCCTCAAAGTACGACTGCTAATAAAAATCACTTTATTATACAGAATTTAATTATGTCTGTGAGCAAGAATCTAACTTTTTTTTTTAGTAATGGGATCTTTTCTCTGTGTCTAGCATTTACCTGGAGCATGTTGACGATGTTCTGAAGGCATTGGAAGAAATAACTGGAAAAGGAATCCCTGAGCTGCTTGATGCATCCAAGGAGGATAACTCTGCCTCCTGGCCCACTCTCAATAGGTAGACCCTCGGCTTAAATTTTGCAAGTTTTCATCGACTAAAATCAATCTGCTTTGATGGTTCCAGCRGAGAGAACAGAGCCTTATACCTGTAATCTGTAGGGATGCAACAGTACGCCTACAGTTTGGTTTGAGAGTCAGTTTGGTATAGTACTGTATGGCACAACAAGGAAAAATAAACAAATGCCAGATGTTATTATTATATATTTTTAATAAAACTCAGAATTTGAGACAAAATCTCTTTATATCATATGACTCGATGCTACTTTAACCTTTTGCATCATCAGTCACTCACTTCCTCCCTTTTCCGTAGACAGACGTTCCTGGTGTTTTACAAAGTGATGATGGCAGAGTTGGAGAAAGCTGCCAGAAAGATTCCTGCTGGCCAAATGAGTGACGACTCTGAGGTCAGATGCTCGACGTTACTGTGTCCATTCTCCTGTTTGAAACATTTATCAGTGACTTAATGAGTGAGATTTCCCAACTTGTGTCAATTTTTAGGCTCAAAGTGAGAAACTGCTGACGTGGAACTTAGCTGTCAGAGACTTTCACATCCTGGTCAACCTAGTGAAGGTATGGTGGTAAAGTTGTAAATGTGTAACTACTTACTCTATTGACAGAGCTGTTTTGAGGATTTCTGTAACTTTTAAATTAGATGATAGTTTGCTGTGCTGACAGAAATCTAATTCTTCCAATCTGATAATTTAATTGTAATGATAAAAATGTTTCCATCAGTCTGCATTCGTTTTTTGATCTTATTCTAGGTGTTTGATTCCAGGCCAGTACTTAACGTGTGCTTAAAGGTGAGCGGGCCTAAGAGTCTACTTTCAGCTGTACTGTTTGTGACTGTTTTAACAAAGGAAAATATGATTGTTACTAGTATGGACGGCTTTTTCTGGAGTCTTTCCTGAAGTTGGGGATGCCGCTATTAGACTACAGTTTCAAAAGGCACAAGGTAAATAAGAGTCTACAGCAAAGGTCCATGTTATGTTCAACATGTTTTGTTTGTAGAATGTATAGAAAAAAATGTTTGAAAAGCCAGTCTCAAGTACAAAAGTATCCCAAAACAGCAGTGCCTATATTAGATTTATCCTATGACTTAAATTGTGTTTTTAAGGAGGACGTCCAGAGTTTGCTGAAGACCTTCCAGCTCAGCACTCGGCAGCTACACCACATGTGTGGTCATTCCAAGGTAGTGACTGATTTACAACTTTGTTTTTTTTTGTGCCCTTTAGCCATATGTACTTATTGTGAAGCAAAAAAGCATTTGCATTGACTCGGAAAAGCAATCTAAGACAAAGTCTACATGTACAGATAACCTTGTAATAATGAGTTGGTTTCTTAGATTCACCAGGATACCAGCTTGACCAACCATGTGCCAGCTTTGAAGAAGAGCCTGGAGCTGTTTTTATACAGAGTGAAGGCCATGCTGACGCTCAACAACTGCCAGGAGGCCTTTTGGATGGGAAACCTGAAGAATCGGAACCTGAAGGTAACAGAGTTAGTTTTTTTTTCTTATCTATCTGCCCATTTAAAAATAATAATAATAAAAAAGTGCTGTCTTGCAGGGTGAGGAGATTCTTTCTCAGAGGTCACAAGGAAGTGATGATGATGAAGAAGAGGAGGAGGATCAAGGGTTGCCGCCACAACAGGAAGAGTCAGAGGATGAGGTACTATTTTAAGGAACAGGCTTATCTAAACATGACTGTGTGAATGTGGCTGTGTTAGCAGCTGAGAGTGTAGACGTCAGTTTTTTTTTTCAGACAATATCTATGCAGTTTTTTTGTTTGTTTATTTTTAAACCAATGATTCAGCTCAGTAATCAGGAAAACAGCTTGATATGAAGTAAATCCCAGAAACATGAGTTCAGTCACTTCAAGCTGGTGTAGAACTCAGAAAACAGAATTTTAATCAAATGTTTTTWTGGTTTTCTGCAGGACCAGGAGAGTGACCCTAAGGGAATTCCCAAAAATAAACTAAAAGATGTGGATCAAGACGACTCTGACTAATCCTAAAATACTTGTTGATTTCTACATATTACTGACGTTTGCTTTGGATGAAAAGCTCATTTTAAGGTTAACCATTTAAGTTCTTGTGATGTTTAAGAGGAAGTAATGGCACTTTCTAAACTGATAAAATAGTTCTTGACCTGAAAGGAAATATATTTTATTGTAGTTTCTGTTCCTTTTTTTGAATGTGGCAAAAACATTTTAAGTACATGAATGCAACAAACATGCAGTGTGCCTAATAATTGTCAATGGATGCTTGTTAAGAAAAAAACATTTTATGTTTATTAAGACTGTAAAAAAGTGAGTCTTTTTACATAAATAATCCTTACAAACTGTGTAAAAGAAGTTTAACACAGTAATTGATTTTACTAAGTGATTAGAT